TCTTCTGATTAATTCTGTGGGCAGCAGTGGGACTGTAGGGGTGGGGGAACCCCGACCTTTTCTCTCAGCTCCCACACATCTTTTTTATCCCCAGCTGCTGCTACCCACTCTTTACCTCCTCCCTGCAATGCCCATTTTTGCCCCAGTATTTTCTCTCTGGATCAGATGAATTCAGGATCTGCCCAGGGGAGTGGAGCTTTAAAACAAGAATATCCATCTGGCTCGGACAAAGAGATAAGGGCGGGGTGGGGGAGGGGATCTGAGCTCATCCGTCCATCCCTCTACCCCTCTGCTTCAGGGCCCCCTCCACAGGGTCTCCATTGTTAGGCAAACAAAGTCCATGGTACTAGACTGGATTGGATGCAGACTGAATTAAGTCTCCATCTGTTAGTTTATTCATTGCAGAGGGTTTTTTTCCCTTTTCCGTCCCCCACTTTTTGACTGTCCACGTCTCATACTTGTTAATGAGCAGCAGAACAGCATTCAGGCTGTGGGCAGGAAGCACACTGTTCAGCATGGGGCTCCCTACCCTTTCTGTCTCCTCTAAGAGACACGCTCTTGTGCCCATATTCCTGCTGGACTCCTGGCTGCCTCAGCTCTCCTAGAAAAAGTATCCAAGCTGTTGATTCTAAATAAATATTCATTTGCATGAAATTGGCATGTTGCTCATTTAATGAGCAATTCCGCCCCCATGCCTATCACCCTCGGTCCAGAGTAGGATGCAGTCCGGTTTGGCCAGGTGCAGAGACATGAGGCTTGTGCTTTAGCTGGTTCTTCAGGAGGACACCTCAAGAGTCTGTGTTCTCAGCAAGTGTTCCTGAGCTCTGCTCTCCGCTGCTGCACTGAGGTCACATCCGTGACAGCAGAGGGAGGGAGGTGCTTACCTTGGAGCCAAGGCTCTGGCTTCCACCCAAGTTCTGTCAAGCTGCTAGAAATATCTACCAGTAGAGTTTCAGGGAAGTTTTGTTGAAAATAACAAGAGGTCTGCCTTGGAAATAATTGCAACAAGAACAGTAACAGGTAATAAAGGACTGGCATTTTAAAACTTTTTACTATATCCCAGACATTGCTTATATTTTAATTCTAAGCTTCATCAGAGCTCTTAAAGATAAATTGAGTATCAGTGAAGGCTTTTTCAGGGGCAATATCTAAAAACATAGCAACAGTCTAACACAAAAAAGGAGAGGTGTTGGTTTATGCAACTAAAAAGGATTCAAATCCAAAGGGCTTCAGGTCAAGTCTTCTTGACTGACTAGATCACATGATGTCACTAGAACTTTACATTTATTTCACTGCCACTTAAAGTGACTCTCAAAGAGCCTTTCTCAAGGTGGTAGCTCTTGGAAACTCTTGATTTAAATGTAGGAGAAAATAAAAACAAAAACAAAATAACCCTTTGCTTTCTCAGGGATTGGAATTTAGGTCCAGGGCATGATTTCATTGATGTAGACTGGGTCATCTGGTTGACCATGAAGCAATCGCTGCACTAGGAGGCTCTACAGGGCAGGTCTGAATCATGGGACCATATCCAGATGAAAAGTCTGTGGTGTTAATGCTACATCCACTCTTTGCAAAGTACCCGATGTGTCAGAGAAGATTCTTGGGAAAAAATAAAGTTCCTATTACAGAGGACAGAGAAGCAGATGCTAAGTAACAGCAGCAAGTTCCACTCCAGATACCATGTCCCTTCACAGATGAGGAAACCAGTACTCAGCAGAGGAAATCACTTGCCCTCCAACAGTGGTCTTAGTGCTAATGATCTGTAAATTGACACCCAAGTCTGAGGTTTATCATCCCCTAAACCACACACTACGCCTCCTTCCTCTTATACTGAATATCAAGAAGGAAGAGAGATGGAAAAAGAGGGGTGTCCAAAGCAGAGAAATGTGCACTACAACATTTTTGCTGGCTTACTGAACATTGAGTTTACAAAATGGCCTGATATCATGGAAGAGGCATGATCAAAAAATACAGTGAATATTTGCATTTGTGAACTCGCGACCTCACACTTGCCAGGCAGGGCTTACACAGCTGAGCAAATCCCCTGCCATCCCCCTCGCTTTGCACATATTTATTCCTTTGCTTCTGCTACTTTCTGAAGGTGTTGTAGAAATTCTTTTTAATAAGTGACTTTAATCGTGCTATGATGGCTGCCTCAGTGCCCTGAATTAGTTCACAGTGTTTACTGTTTACGGTCACTTTGATTTGTGGAAGGACCTGAAGTCACACAGTGGCGGATGCAGTGAGTGTGGTGGATAAGGACACACCTAATGGTGTTACAGGATAAAAGTTGCTGTAGACTGTTGATTTACACTATTCATCCCCTCAACTCCATCTCCTCATTTTGAACATCATTGTTCTTAGCACTGTCTCTTTTACTCTAGTAAATTTATTTTTAATTTAAATTCACCATATTTTTAAATTACCCTTGTATGGCCAAGGGAAGCTTACTTATCTCTTGGAACCCACTATCTCATAATAGAAATAAGGGATTTTATAATCTACAATAAGAAGGGATTCTAGGAGATTGGAAGTCATTCAGGCAGACAGAAATCACCTAGCACAGTTCTTTTTCATGCCTTCTCTCATCTGCTCCCCTAACAAATACTGAAGCCCATGTATAACCTGGGTGGCCGTATCTCTCCCTTTCTCCCTTGAAGAGGTGTGTGTGTGTGTGTGTGTGTGTGTGTGTGTGTGTGTGTGTGTATGTGTGTGTGCACGTGCACACACAGGAAAATGATTGGCAAACTGACTTTCATAATCCATGCTCTTGTCTTGTTATTGTCTTGGGCACTGACGTCCCACAAGTATCTGTCTAAGTCCATATTCTGTTGCTAGAACTAAATACCATAGGCTGCATAGTTGATAGAGAAAAAAGATACATGTGGCTAATCTCTCAGGCTGCGAAGTCCAAGAACATGGTGCTAGCATCTGGCAGAGGCCTTCTGACTACATAACCAGGAAGAGGGCCTCACACAGCACGAGAGTGAGGTTGCTACTCAGGTCACGTCCCATCTCATAATGTCATCCGTTCAATCACGGAGACAACACTTAATCCTCACTACTTCTCAAAGGCGTCATCTCCAAATGGCATTCATTTATGACAGTGGGAATTAAGTTTCAACATGAGTTTTAAGGAAGAAAATCATTCTGTGCATGGCAGTACTTCCGAGACCGCTAATCCTCAGGGCTGCCTCGGGTGAGAAATTCAGCTGGGGTCTGCTACTCTATGAAGTCTGTCTTTGCCATGTTCCTCCTCTGCCTTAGGGTTCTTTAATGGCAAACAACAAAAACTATTCTGGACAATTTAAGCTGAAGCCTATGAGATAGCGAATAGAATGAAAATCTGAACACCTTTAGGAAGGACATAAAACAGGGCTCTTCTGGAGACCCAGGGGTTTTTAAATAACTAGAGTATCTAGCTGACCAGATAAATTAGGATGAATTGAGCTTCATTTCTGCTCATCAAGCTTTACCTCTGTAGGGGATTTCATCTACCTGGAAAAAAGGTGACTCCTTCGTTCAAAGATGCCACGATTGCCCACAAAGGTGCCACCACTCATCGTGTGTCTCTTCTAAATATCAGGTGCCCTGGAAGTAATAAGCAATCTGCTTGGGGTGTTGTCATGAGAAACACACAGCTTCGGCCCTTTCTGATCATGTTCTGCATAGCCCTACTCCCAGTTCGGATTCTAAGGAGAGGTTGGTTAGTTTGCACCCTTAATAGTTGTGAAATCAGGATGAGATAGGTGGAATAGGAGAGATCCAAAGGAAAGTCAACATTCTAGACAAAAGAACAAGAAACATTTCTGGGTTGACAAAACCAGTAGGTGGTCACCACATCTCATCAGCTAAACAGGAAGCGCATGCTCCCCCTTAGTGGGCTCTGCCTTCTTGTCAAAGAGAGGGAATCAATCACTCACATTGAATTCCATGTGTAAGGGACTCCCTAGAGCTATGCCATATAGAATCCTTGTCTTTTCTCTAAGCATCTCCTGCCTCATCAGAATTTCCAGATGCAAGGTATATGGGACTACAGCCGCCGTGTTCTCAGTTCTTTTGCTGAAGGGTCAGATAGATTCCTCAGCCAAGCGTGGTGTGGGAGGACCTCACTTGGTTACCCCTTCCACCTGTTCACTTCTTTTTATCAGCCTAAGGAAGCAGACATAGGCTTCAATAAGGCCCTGGCTGAAAGATGCCTTGCATTTCCCTATTTAAAATCCTTCCACATGAATCCCTTATCACCTCCTTTGCTTTTTTGTGTCTTGCAAACCTTTAGTTTGCAGCCTTTAGTTTGGTAAGACACTAATAAAATTTTTTCTCTAGTTGTAAGGGGCATGGAAATGGTGGGTGCTCTGATTTCAGTTATTTTAGAAGCAAAATCACTAATGTGAGTATGGTTTCTTTTTGACTCTGACCTCACCTGAGGAACACAGAGCATTGACATTGATTCTTGCAGAAAAATCAGCAGCTTTGACCCCATCCAAGCCTGGCTTACATTTTAAGAACCATTATATTAGCTGTGCGGGCTGTGCCTGAGCCATTCAGAAGGGCAAATACCAGCTCCTATCAGATTCTTTCCCATCCTCAAATCTCTTTCCTAATAGAAGTGGGCAGAGGTTGGTCTCACTTCGTCCCACACATTTTCCACTTCATTCTGATCTGTCTTGCTCTTGGTTCTCCCCACTATTAATCTTGCAATCCTTTTTCTGTTTCTGCCCTTACTCTGACCTTTAGACTTAATTCATGGTACCGCGTTTGTACCTACTCCTCCGTACCTCTTAACAACTCTCTGCTGCTCTTCTCCACCCACCTAGCTTCCTGCTACTGGACCTAAATATGATTTTGAAGAATTTGTCACACTAGGGAGCTATCTGGAAGGCAGGAGAAGTGACATTAGAAAATGAAACAAAGGATAGGCATATTTTGATGAAAAATTATTGCATCAAAATGTAAGAATTACCATCAAGGAAGCCTAATGAGGAATAGTAGACACCCTTCCCCAGATGGATGGCTTTTGATAGAAAAAAGAGAACAAGGATAGTGCTAGAAGCAAAAGCAAGCCATTAAAGTTAATTTCAGCGCTGGCTGCGGCCAGCTTTATTTAACTAGCTGGATTTCCTGCGCAGTATCACCAGTCCAGGGCTCAACTTCTGCTTCAACTTTGCCCCAACAGGAAGAGAACTGGGCAGAGGGAGAAAGAGGCACGGCGTTCAGAAGAGGGAGGCAGAGACCACAGAGACCAACCCGCAAGCATTGCTGCCCGATGGGATCCAGGAGCTGTTTCCTCTTCCCACGACTGGCAGCATGGAGAATGAGTCCCGGGGTTGAGCTGGATTTTCTCAGCCTGACTCTAAGGACACTGGATCGGTGAGGTGGAAGAACTGGAAAAATCTGGCTGCTACCATTTTGGAATATTTTTGGTTCCTTCCAAAGTGCATGTTGAAACTTAGTCCCTAAGTCAATAATATTGGGGGAAGTGATTACCGGGAGCTACAGCCTCATGAATGGGGTTAAGTGACCTCATAAAAAGTCTTAACTGAGAGCATGTATCCTTCCATCTGTTTTTCTCCCTCTATCTCTTCCACTGTGTGAGGATGCTGCCCTTCCCTCTGTAGGATACGGAGGCATGGCACATCTGAAAAGTAAAGATGAGACTCTTACTTACTAGCACTTTGATCTTGAACTTTCTGGTTTCTAGCACTGGGTGAAAGTAAAATTCTGTTCTTTAATTACCTGGTCTCAGGCATTTTGTCATAGCAATACCAGTGGACTAAGACACTGGCTCGAGGAAGATCAGAGTGACAAGCCCGTGTACAGCACCCAGGGACTTGATTCCATCCTGCAGGCAAAGGAAAAGAGTATGAAAAGATGGGAAGCCCAGTCCATACCAGCTTTTCTCCCACCAGTACCCACCTTTGGTGACTCCAAATATCCCAGGAGTCTGAGCTGTCATAAAGCTCAGGATGACTGAAGTGGCTCTCTTAAGCTCCACATCTTGTACCCTACTGCCTAGTAGATATCTCCACCTGGAGCTCCACAGTCCGACACACAGCCTGGCAGCATGAGGCACAAAACTTCTGGATTACAGAAAACACCTGTCACTGCCCATCTGGAATTTCCCTAGTTAGAAGCTTGAGCACGTTCCCTGACTCCTCCCTCTTCCTCGGTTACCACAGGGTGCCGATTCTGCCTCCTAAGTATTTTTCAGCAGTGTACCCCATCTTCATGCTTACTACATGGTTCATATTTAGGGCATCACTCCACTTGCCCAAGGTACTGCAGCAGTGTTCAGCTGTCCCCGGCCCATCAGCTGTCCTTCTGCCCATGTCAGGCTCATTATCCATGTCATTCTGATGCTTAAAAATTCTACAGTGGCTTCCATTTGCCAAAGTTCAAGTCCAAGATCAAACATCTGTCATACTCCCTGTGACCTACCTTGGCCCACCCCTCCAGCTTTATCCCTTAATATGCTTTATTTCAAATTTCACGTTCTACAAACAAACATATGTAGGCTCCTCTCTCACACACCTTGCTGCAGGGCACCTCCACACCACTGCGTCAACGGACCCCTCAGCAGGAATGCTCCTCTCCCACTGTTTTTAATCTAACATGGTTCTCTGAGGCTCAGCTCCAGGAGCGCCTCTTCTAAAACGCCTTTGCCATGTACCACAGTTACCATTCCCACAGATTAAAAGATTTTAAATATCAAGAAACATTAAAATACTAAAAGATTAATGTTTCCCATTTCCCCATATACACATACATTTAGGTACATCTGATCCACATTGTCATACTGCATGGTACCTATATCCATCATTGATCACCCTACCCTTTGGTACAGCCATCTGCTTCTACCATATTACTATTAAATAACGGTCTCCATAGAAGTTAGAACAATACCCTTCAAACCTATTTCATTTGAAACATTAAATAAGTGGTAAATAAATAACTGTATTAATAAACGATTAAATCCTTTGGTTGATTTAGTTCTCCTCCCCTATTTTTCGTGTGTGTGCTGTGTGTATGTGTGTGTGTGTGTGTGTGTGTGTGTGTGTGTGTGTGTGTGTGTGAGGAACCAAACTCAGGACTCTGTACTTGCCAGGAACATGCTCATGCCACTGAGCTACATCCCTGACCCCGTCTTCCCCCATTTCTGAAGAAGGAACATTGTTCAGTATGACCTTTCCCATAGTTCCAAGGGTGTTCAGTATTAAGGTCTATGTTGTAGACTCGACCTAGGCACACTTGAGGTAGCCTGACTCTTCCACTCACTAACTATGGGCAACATACTTAAATGCTCTGAGTTTGATTATCCCTCATCTTCAAAATGAGGACACTAGAATCTTCTTTATGTATATAGTGAGGTTTAAACAAGGTCATGTGTGGTTCTGTGTTTGGTACATAGAAGGAACTCAAACAAATTCAGGCTGTGGTAATTTCTCCAACCCAATCTCATCTTCTCTTTCAGCCTTTGTAAATCCACAATCAGGAAGAAGAGATATGATTAAGTGTGGGAATGAGGAACAAATGAAATCTTTTTAATGTATTTTATCCTGACGCTTTTGCTTATGCACTAAGGAAATATTGAAAGAGAAGGTACTTTATTGCAAGTTTACCTGTCATTTTCTTTCTTACTTTTTCCAAGATGAAAGCATCACAAAGCGTCACAAAGACTCACAGCAGCAGCTAGAGCCCTGGGCTCTGCCAGTAAACCTCTGCCAGAGAAATGGTGCTGCCACACACTGCGGAGGGACTCAACCACAGAGACAGAGCTCATTAATGCTAACGGCCTTTGTGCAGCTAATTAGCAGCATCTCACACTCAATATTTACCCTTGTGTATGTACAAAGTTCCACTTTCTCCTTGGGAAGCAAGCTGTTTCGGTACCTGACTCACGGCAAGGAAACCTCTGATGCCAGATAAGAGCTTCCTCTTGGCCTAGATCGGCTTAGAGAAAGCTGAAATTCTTTCAGCTTTCAGGCGTGAGCAGAGAAGCAGTTTATGAGTCTCATTCCAGTCTTGGGTGTTGTACTGGGCAGCTGGAATCTTCATCCAAAAAGGCTGTCAGTTTGGTGATTCAACGAAGCAGCTGTCAACCCCAGATACCCTTCCCGCAATCACTGCGTACTCAACCACTTCCTATGGATTAGGTGTTCTCTGAGGTCAGTGCAGGACCCATTTTTGCCACAGGGGCTAGGGGAAAGGAGATGACCCACCAACAAAGGGACTTTTAGAGGGCTGTCTAGGCAACAGTCCCTTGGGAAGCACCTGAAACCCACTCAACAACCTTTAACTGAGCTCTTAAGCTCCACCACATCTTCTACTAAAGGCTGTGGGCACACAAAGGTGAATAAGATGGGATCTCTGCTCTTGGGAGCTCTCAGTCTGCACAAACACTGACCTGCAGTACTATGATACCGTGTGATAATGGAAATACACACAGCAAAATGCAAGGGAATAGCACTGAGGTCAGACCATGGGAGTAGAGAAGGGCTCTGTGGAGGAGGATTACTGCAAATTCTGAAAAACAGACCTTCCTCTTCATTCCCTCCTTCCTCTTCTCTGAAACCACAGACTTGTGTCTGAGGAAGTATCACAGCTCTGATCCATCATGTAGTGAAGCAGACATGGGAGCTTCCCCAGGGGACCGACTGTGTTCTGGAGACCAGCAGGCTAATAATCACTGCATTAGCAGGCACAGGCCTGGCTTCCTTTGGAGGCCTCCCCTCTTACTCAACACAGCATTCTTCTCATTCTCTGAGGTCCTTTGCAGCTCTCAGTCCCATGAACAACTGGCCACTGTCTAGTCTCCAGATACGTTGGTTCCAGCAGAAATATCTTGGGGCCATGAGGATCCTCAGGAAAGATATCCTGGGCACAGTGGCTATTCCCATAGAAGTCTGGAGGGCCAAATGTTCTCTGCTGTGAAGCAGAGGTTGAGACTAGAGGATGTTTTTCTGCAAACCAGTAATCTTTCATGAAACTATAGGAAGTGCCCACCCATCACATACACACATGCGCGCACACACACACACATACAAACACACACACATGCACAATATATATATACTCTTTTGCAGATTCACTCATCAGACACCACAGAAGACTGTAGGCAGAGTTGTCCAGCAAGGCCCAAGCATGGGATTTCTGCCAGTCATTCTCTTCTGGTGCAGAAGAATGTGCTGTTAAAGAACCAGTATCGGTTAACACATTACGAAGCGTAGTACAGCCGAGCCTATTCAAGGATGATGCAAGTTCAGGTTCAGGGATCTCCCACGGTATTCTCATCAGGCCTAAACTGGCCCAATGAATAAGTGGGACCATGAGCAAATACAAGGCTGGGTCTCATCCTGCCCAGCCTGCCATGTGGACCTGGCTTCTAAATGGGGGAGCACAGTGCTCAGTCTCCCACAGCTGGTGCTGACTTCCAGTCGGGGTCCCCTGGAGCTGTTTCCATATTGCCCTAATGGCTTTTCCTTTCTCTGTGCCCCCACTCACTCCCTGGATGAGCCCAGGGGTGTTGTCGCAGCGCAAAATGAGATGAGGAGCTGAGACAGAAAGCCGTACTGTTAGCCAACAGTGTTCCAGTAAGTACCAACCTGGCCCCACTAGCTTAGCCTGGGGTACGCCCACCCTTATAAGACTCAAATATGAGTGTCCAGGTGCCCCTTGGCTAGGACCATTTACCACTCACGTGTCTGTCCTTACACGTGCAAGTGCACATGTACACACACTCACAAAGAATTACTCCTGCTTTTTTAGAGAAGGGAAATATGGATAATTTTCAAATGTGAGTGCTGCGGAGAAATCTAGAAATTATCTGATTATCTGCTTTGAAGTCCTCTTAACAGCTGCCTGGAAAACAGGCTTTGAAAAGAAAACCACCTTACCTAGTGTTGCCAGGCATAGTCACCGCACACTGGAGACTCCTGGCTCACACACTGTGCTCTTGGACCATCACGTTGCCTCCTGGTTCACACCTTCAGGGATCACAGCATCAGCTTGTGCTCAAGGTCCCCCCTCTGCCGCAGAGCTGGTCTGAAGTTAACAGGCATGACTGCAGATCGGTTTCCGAGCTTTAGTGTATCTGAAGCAGCTGGACTTTGGAGTGCTGGTTAGTGAAGGTGACTGGTGTGTTGCCCCCAAATACACCACTGACGTCAACCAAGGTGCAGCAAATGCAGAAGGAGCCGCCACCCTCTCTTAAGTGCCTGCGAACAGCACAGTTTATATACTTCCCTTTATGAAAATGTTCCCTTATTTATCCTGTAATGGAACAGATCACAGAGACAGAAAGTCAGCTCCAAAGTTAACCTGGAAAAACACAGCTTACTAAAATAACCCTTATTTTCCACTAGTTTCCCTTGCTTGCTTCTCCTAGGACTTCAGCCTTTCCATCCTGGTTTTGTTTGCTTTCTTTAGCTAACGCTCTGACAGTACACACGCCCCAACTTCTAGCCAACTCTGAGTGAGTTATCACTCAGCTCTCCTATGCACATACACACTGCACACGCTTCTTTACACATTTATTTACTGGCTTACATCCTCCTGTAAGTCCAGATTTTGTAAATTTAATTCACTGCCCCAGGTACCTTATGTAAAAGGGCTAAAAATCGGGTATTTTCATTCCCTCCATTAGGAACCCAACTCTAGCACTTGTTGACCTAGATCTGAATGCCAGTTCAATCAGTTAGCTTTATAACCTTGGCAGGTTATTCTGCCCCTCTGGGTCTCAGTTTCCCCATGTGTTTAATGGACTAGTAATATAGCCCACCTTACAAATTATTGTACATACTGACTGAGGTGATACAGAACAAAGAACTCTCAGCACGGAATATGTGCAAAAATGCTAATCTATTAATATTATTGGGGTAATTAATATAAATGCATGCTCCAGGCCCTGTCTATACAGAATCTGATCAGTGCCTCTGAAATAAGAACCAGTAGTCTGAATTTTAACAGCCACCTCTGAAGACTGCAATGGGTAGGGTGGAGAGCAGGAGGAGGACGGTGAGGGTGCTTTGTGAACCTTGGAGAAGCCTTGTTTCTACAGTAGGGGAGGACGTATTTATATGATATGTAAAGGCTTTCAATAACCTTGTTAGTTTTCTTGTCTGACTGCTTAGACCCACAGACCCACATTTTTCAGCTCTCTCCTCCCCGGGAAGGCTTATTAAAGACCCGTTTTCAAGTCTTTCTCCTAACTTGTGGATTTCACCTTGGGAGCTCGGGTTTGGGAAAGCGGTTTTTAAGCACATACCCCCCTCAAAGTGACTCAGAAGTGCACTGAAGCTTGAGATGCAGGGCCGAGAAGCAGGTGTCCCTGGAGCACCCTGCCCAGAGCAGCCCAGCATGTGGAAATGCTGGCCGCTGCTGCGTAGGGCGCCCTGGGTCGCCTTGTGCGCCCTTGCACTCCGCCCACTCAGGTCCGCCACTCCACAGATCCTGTTCCCAGCCTGGGTGGCATTTTCATGCCGACTTCTCATTTCCTGCCAAGAGCAGAGCTTGTCTCTCTGATCCACTGGCTCTCCGCCCAGCCAGGCCTTATGTGGCACCCTTGAACACTGCTCGGCCCTTCTACCCCGGGACTGTGCAGCTGTGCTGCGGAGGGAGAGGAGAAACCGGGGCATCATTTAAGAGCCTGCTAAGACCAAGTTGGAGAAACAGCCAGGAAGACGGTCCCAGGCCCAGACGGCCCCTCCCACCCTGCCCAGGCCTCTGTTACTCATGCAAAGATAATTCAGTTACTGAAAATGCAGACTGGGGAGATAACCTGATTTAGAAGCTGAAACCATCTGAACTGAGGAGGAGGCTGGGTCAGGAAACAGTTATTAACCCAGGAGGGCTGGAGCAGTAGATGGGTGGGGATGGAGAGGCACTGAACAGCTGCCCAGACAGAATTATTGCAGGGTTGGGATGTCAGGGGTAAAACACTCCACTCTCAGTCTGCCCAAAAGTTCACGTACCCCTTAAATCCTTTAAAAATCCTTAAAATCTTTGAAAATGTGCATTGTTTTCTTTTTTTTAGGACATTGAGCTAACCATCATCTGGTTTATACACCTATCCAGGAAGCTGAAAAACTGAAGGGTTAGGAAGAAGAAAACAAAAAGCAAAAACCTTTGTGGAGATTTCATTTGAGTCAGTGATCACCATTTTCTCTAGGAACAAGTTACTTCAGTGTGGGCTGTCATCTGTGAAAGTGGGTGACGTGGCTGTGGTGGGACCTTTGGGGAAGGAGGGAGACAAGGGTGCTCGAGGTCTAGGACGGTGGTCAGAAGGCCCTCCTCTCCTCCTTCACATCTGAGAGCCAGTTGTGCAAAGTCCAGTGGGCCTCCCTCCCTCTCCGACTGACCAGGAGTTTGGTACCTCCTTCTGTAACATTTTCACACCCTCCATCCTGTGAAAGTTCCCCCTAAAGTCTCCTCTCTATCCCCTGAATCTTTAAAGTACCCCGACTTGGTTCTAAGAAGGAAAGCAAGTGACTAGGGAGCTTACAAAGCAGCGCCTCCTAGTTATCTCTGTCTTCTTCTCCTTCTGACTTAGGGGGATTTTTCTCTGCAAACACTCTTGTCTTTTTTATGACCTGCCTATTCTGTGTCGGATGAATGTGAGACAGTGACGAAGCTGAGACCCAGCCCTCGCATGTTTTTGACTACCTTAGCAGCCTGGGAAGGCAGCGCTTTCTGATCCATTGGTCCACAGTACCTGCTTAAGGAACTGGACACCTGACCCACAAGAAACAGCAGATTCCCTGCAAATTGGGAGACCTAGATGGGGCTGGCCCAGCCTGGGAAGCAGCTGCCTCTGAGCAGGATTGCAATTTCCTATGTTAAAGAGGCAAAGGACAGAACAGCAGTGAAGGAGTTAATGGCAGCCAGGCATCCCCCTCCTCCCTCCCTTCTCCCACTGGACCCAGATGAATAACCAGTCAGTAAAATGACCCCAGTGGAAAGAGTCCAGAATCATCCACTCTGATCCCAGGGGGCATTTGTACTCCTCACAGTGCAAATCAAATCACTCAGGGTAAGACTAGGGCTGGGGGTGGGGAGCCTAGGGGAAGACAGCTTTCCAACCTCTTCAGGCTAGTTGGGAACCAGGCCCCCACAGAACCTCAGCCTGGAGGCCTGAGACCAAGGACTGGAGAGCTCTCTGACCCACCTGGCTTCCGTAGGCCTGGAGTCAGTGTGTGTTTTTCCTGAGACTTTCTTAATTAACAGTAAGAGGCCTTCTATCTCTTGACTTCCCCTGGCTTGGTAAGGCGGTGAGGAGCCTTCTCTTCGTGGACGGACATTTACCTTGGTTCATCCAGATGAGATTAGCTGACCATGCAGAAGGAAAGGAAATTACATTTGAGAAAGTATCAGAAAAAGGTGAGCCCCAGCGTCTGACAGAACCAGAGTGCCACCTCTCCACTTAGCTGGCCTTGGCTAGTACACAGCTCAAGCACATCCCCATCCCCAGCTCCTCCTCAGTCAGCGAAAACTGCCAGGGCTTCCCCAACACCTACAATCTCCCTGCCTAAGGGTTTGTCCTCTGAAAGGTCTATAGATTTATAGGTCAGCTGCAGGCCTCCCCCCCACCATCCCTCCCCTCACAGTCCCCGGTTACCCTCCACTGAGTCTCTGTCGCAGCATTAGCCGGGTGTGTGTGACAGGAGCTGGATGGGAAGGGGAGACTGACTCTGGATCTAGATAAGCCTTTCCTGAAGGAGTCTCCCCTCCCTCAGGCACCCCATCACTCTCCTGAGGCCTGTGTTCCTGTGACCTACAAAGAGTTCAGAGAACCTTATCCATAAAAAGAACTCTAAACATTCATTTCATTATGGCCTACAAATGAACAGGATCCCTGTCTTTCCAGAATATTCTGTCCTATAATAATCCTCAGGCTGAGCTTGAGGAAGCTCCATTTTATCAGATCTAATTAAATGCCCCAGCCTTTGAAAAATGGGAGAAAAAGTCTCATAAAAGTTGTAGACATGTCAACAAGTTGCTTATGGGAAAAGACAGTGGCGAACGGTGGAAACGTGGCAGCATGGAGAAAGCTTCAGACGGGGACTCAGAGCTGTGGCTGTGTCTCAGCCTTAAGGACAATTACTGACGCATAGATGGAGGGCCCATGGTCAGCCAGGAGGGTCACATCCCTGGCTGCCGAGACCTCTCCAAGGATAAGTTAGAGAGCTTCCTTGGAAGCCAAAGGACTTGTCAAAATAATTGTTAAAAAATAATGGTTCAGAAAACAAGTCGAGAACAAACTAAAGAATGGGAGAGCCAAGATGCAGCCGCGAGCTGGGAGCTGGCAGCAAGCCCAGGAAGCAGTGGTGTGTCCACAGGGCCAAGCGGCCTGAGAGTTCAGCCAGCAGCCCTTGCCCAGGGTGCGGGACCTCTGGGAAAGCCCACTGGGTGACCCATGTGGGCAAGGGCAAGGCTGAGGGCTTGCCTGGCAGTGCTTAGGCTTCTTCCAAGGAGCTTAGGTCCTGGGTCAGTGCAGTATCAGACCGAGCGTGGCCACTGGAGTGGGGAGGCTGGTTGTGATCAGGCTTGGGCTGTCCAGTGCAGGTGTGATATAGTTCTTATCTCCAGTTAGTGGAGGAGCAGTAGGGCATCATAGAATGCATGTACTTGGCTAGCTGGGCACCCCAAGCAGGCAGCTGGCCCACCATGAACCCCAGGTGGCTCATGCATGAAACATCTCCAATAGGACTTTGCAAGTTGTTCTAAAGATCAAAAGAGATGAGCAAAGAATCCCTCAAGTAATCTTTAGCACCAAATGGTAGTTTTTTTTGCTGTCATGGTTTATGTCGGTGCCCCCCCTCATGCGTTTGCATTGTGCATTTGTGATTGGTTCATTGTCTAGCACTTGGATTGATGGTGTCAGTGCTACCCCTTACCTAGGGGTGGAGCCAGCATACAATGTAATGGCAGGAAGAAGGTGTGTGTCTCTCTCTCTCTTGCCGGGTTCCACCTTGCTTTTTGCAGCTGCCATGAACTGCGGCCTCGCCATGCCTTGGAGCCAACTGAGTATGGATTGAAACCTCCAAAAACTGTAAGAAATAAACCTTTCCTTTCCCACCTTTGGGCATCAGGTATTCTGTCTCAGCAACAAGTAAAAAGTAACTAAGACTTGGGCTAATTATGAAACTATCATTTATGTTTTGTGGCATCATAAACAGTATAGATAATGTGATTAATATACTACAATGCCCACTGCTCATTACAAATGGGGCCAGAAGCGGTGGGAGCCCCTGACCTCTCCCACTTCCTCATCTTTTTCTCTCTTAGGCAGGACCCACGAAGCCGGAGCCTGCAGGTGAGCCAGTGGTAGATACAGCTGTGACAGTTTGGGGACTGTACAGAGAGGCAGCAGGACTGAGGGATCTTATGACTGTTCATACAAACATTTGCTTGGAGTCTGAGGGGAAAACAAAAGAGAATTAAAAATGTCAAGTGAGTAGCTATGTATCACCCTTAAAGACTGGAACTATTCTAGGTTTGAGGGAAAGTCAGTAAAGCTCCAGTCCAGGAGTCACAGCCATGAAAAAGAGAGAGGAGACAGAAATGTCGCTCTATTCATTACAAGTCAAGCCCAATTTACGGCTCATATTTCTGGCTGGAGCATGAGGGAAGGCATCGCCAGCAAGGCTGGAGGGTGAGATGATCTGGGAACTGGCCCTGAGGGCATGAAGATGAAGCAGGAAAATGCCCTGGGCATCCGTGGCTACAAGGAGGGGCCACTGGGATGGCAGCCAGTGGACCCTGGCATAGGGAGACCTTCAGCAGGGCAGCCAGGAGAGCTGAAAGTACTTCTGTTGAAAGAAAAATGTTCTTACCCACCTAAGGATTCTTCAGGACCAGGCAGACAAATTGACAATGTTGATTCATTTAGCTCAGCAGTATTCAGGTCAAAATCAATCTTGTCAAAAATCCATCACCCACACTCGATCAGTAAGAAAGGGATACAGGCTCCAGGGGAATCAATCACACCCCAACAGGGAGCGGCTGAAAACAGATCTATCATGGCCTCTGATGGAGGCTTCCATTACTCAACATGCTATTTCCTGACTGCGCCTCCAGAACCCTGCCCAAGGTCATGGGCATCAGCCATAAGCCCCAGCAGCAGCCAGAATTAAGATGGCCCAGACTGGGTAGTCAGTCTCCTTGGTCATCCACTGCAGCCAGGACTTTCCAAAGCCTCAGGACAGATTTATGTATGCGAACTTTTCACAGGATCAGCACTGAGTGAGATGTTGTGACCCTCCAGAAGGTACTGCATCCATTTCTGTGCTTCAAAAATCACTGTCACTGTCACTTAACTCTCCTGCTGCCCCCAAATTGCCATGGTTGTCTCTTTTACTTTGTTGAAAGAAAAACTGAGAGGCTTCTGCAGAGCTCCCTAGATGTGGGCAACCACAAGACACAGAGGCTAAGATTCCCTATCTTCTGTCTCTAAGCCAGAAACTACCTTAGCCAAGATGGGCCTGATAGTAAGCCTCACTCTGCCAGACACATAGGAGTCACAAGAATAGATGAGAGAATGTGTGTCATGAGCCAGATAATAAAGAGGGGCCCCGCCTCCACCATGCACTAGTGAGTCTGAGCCACTATTCAGCTTCTCTGCCCCACATCCCTTGCACACAAAGTAGAAATTAAAATAGTTTTCTGAGGATGGCTGAAGACTCACTGAGACTCTACAATGTGCAGCTCTGGCATGGTGCTTGACAAGTAAAACTACTCCTAGATAAAGGTCCCTTCTGGCACCAAGCCTGGGCTTCAAGACATCTTTCGTGAACAACCTCTAAAAAATGTTCACATCATCCACACATTCATTCACTAAGTGTTTACTGGCCATGGGCTCTTCTAAGCTCTTCCAAACATTGGAAGGATAATATACTATAGAAACCACAGGGAGGGGACAGCTAATCTGTGTCCTGCAGATGATAATAAATAGCCCAAAGATACCACTTAAAAGAGAGGAATGAAGTAGACAGAGACAGATGGCATAGAGGACTATTTCAAATATAATTCGCCAAAGACTTCTTGAATGGGACCCATTGGAGTCAAATGGTACCAAGTTAGCCGCCTGGCAGTCTGGATGGAGGATGTCCCAGGTACTAGGGATGTGGAAGGCTGAAGAGAAACTAGTGGGGAAAGGAAGGGGCGGACGGCACAGAGAGACTGGCGGGAACCAATGAAGCAGGACCAAGGAGACTCTCCAGAATAGCGGGTCTTTCATTTAGTTCTGATGGAGGCTCCTGGAGCAGCATTATCTGATAAAACTTGCACAGAGTATGTGGAGAGTGGATTTTTAAAGCAGGGCAAAAGTGGAAGAAAGCAGATGAAGTAGAAGGCTTTTTACCAAGTTTTGGTGGGGAGAATTTTGCACTAGGGAAGTAGGTTTGAGGAATGTATATTAGAGTCCGGAAATTTTTGGAGATAGAGACAGCAGTACTTGGTGAATTGGATGTGCAGGATGAGAAAAAGGAAGAACTGATTTCTCTAAAGTTTATGTTTTGAACTACCAGATAGATAGGATCTTAATTATTGTTTGGGGAAGACTGAAAGGAACATATTGGGGTAAGAAAGTGCAGTTAAATGTTCTGCTAAATCAAAATGCATATTAGACATGTAGGGGCAGAGGTCAAATATAAGTGGTTGGACTTGGAGTTGCTGGTTAATGGATTTTTACTTAGAGTCTAGGACTGCATGAGATCAGCTAGAGACAAGGGGAGAAGGTAAGACCAAGCACCAGGAAACTCATCCAGAGGAATGCATATTCAAAGTCCCAAAACTTGAGGGTGTATGGCCATCAGAACACAGTCCTGTGCATAAGAAGTTGGGTAGAGATTTGACATAAAACCTTCTCGGTTGAAAAACATCTGAAATCAATAGAAGGCTGTTGCCTTCTGAACACATGTGGCAGGTACATGTTACACAGGTCACCAGTTCCAGTGAAAGGCAGTAGACTCCTGCTGGTCTCTAGACTCCTGCTTGCTGGGTGAGTATTTGTGGTTGTCAGGTGGCTTCAAGCCTCTTATGATTTCACTTTTAAATGCTCTGGAGTGGAGGAAGAGGGGAATGGAAGACAGAGGCTGGATCTCTGCAGTGAATGCACTGTCAAAGCCATGTGAATACACTGGCACTGTTTGAGGGCAACCCACACTTGCTCAGATTTCCACAACAGATACGTTAGCATGGATGCCCAAAGAGTTGTTGACTCCTAGAACCGCATCTTTACCTGTAGCAGCATCTTCTGTGGTTATTTTGGCAAGTTCCCAAAGGCTAAAACTGCTCAGGCTCTTCACATTCTGCCAGTCAAGGCCCTCAAGCCACACGAACATGCAGCTTCCTCTGTGCCAGTCAGCTTTCCATTGCTACAACAAAATACCTAGAAT